CGTGGTTAGGTGAAGTTATGCCACGAATTTTGAATTCCCATGACATACTTTGTGGCACAAGTGATGATCCAATATATTCTTGGGTTGAGAATTAATTAAATTTGGGTATTAGTATTATTGCAATGTAAGATTTGAGATACTTTGTAAATCGAGTATGATGTGATATGTTATTTGGGTACTTGTGAAAAATTATTTGATCAATGTATAAGATCAAAATGATGAGAATTCTTATTTTGTTCTTGGTTTGAGGCTCGGCGATATAAATCTTAGTCCTTGGCATGTTGGTAAGAAGATAATAATCATGAGTTAAGAATGAGGTAAAATATTTATTATCTACTCCATATTTCTTTATGGTCCCCTACTGTGGGATTTGGCCCGTATGTGGTCTGGTTTAAGGTGTTTTTCTGGTTATTAAGAGTATTCAAGTTTTTATACTTGTTGGTTTGTTATTCGAATCACCCATGTTCAAGGCTAGGTATAGAACAAAGAGAATGACACACTTATGGGATAGATGAGTTAATTGAGTAAAAGTTCGTATTATTATTCGAGGTTGAGTTTGACAAAAGTTGTTTTCAGAGTACAATGTGTAATGTTATTTCGAACTACATTGTTAAATTGAGTTAATCATATTAATTATTCTATTATTCTTTGTGTTATGAATAGTGGTGATTACTCAGTTTTTTGCTGATGTGTGTGTTATTTTGTTATGCTATTTGTGTTTGCGGCCATGTCTTTTTCTTATGGTAGACCTGCGACGATCTACTTTGGAATTCATCCTTAATAATGGCGAGCAATCAAAATTGTAACAGGTTGATCAAGCGATGATCATACCTAAAAGAGCTCAAGTGTTTCAATTAGTTTGTTATAACAAGTTTAATTTATAAAATTGTATAAATAGCTCACTTAGATTATTGAGATTTTGTAAGCCTTAACACTTGATATGTTTTTAAGTGTGGCGGTAATATGTCCGATTTAGGTGTATGCTTTCACAATTTTATTCAAAAGTTGTTTATTCTTCCTTTAATTCTTGTTTATTATTAGTTAGTAAATCGGGGTGTTACATGACTAGTCGTCTACTCCTTTTCAATTGATAACCGTAAATATAAGGTATTTATCCTGTTTAGACAATTTCCATTTTTTTTAACACTAGTCGTTGGAGCACGCGCGTTGCGCGTCTCCCCCCCCCCCCCCCCCCCCCCCCCCCCCGACGATAAGATAAGTAAATTACGTTGGTTGTGTTCGGGTTTTATAATAATAATGATACATGAATTTGTAAGTACTAATAAGGAGTAGTGATAAAGTTTCTACGGGAAAATATCTATGGAAAAACAATTGTTATAAGTGAAGTTATCTAGAATTTGTTATAACTCAAAGATTATTAAAAATTTATATTATTTTTTAGATATTATTTTAGAACGCAATTGTTTTCTTATCGAGTATCTAAATAATTTTCGAATAACTCATTTTAAAATGATTGTGATAATAAAGAGTAATAATAAAAAAAATGCAATACTAATGGTATATTAGTTTGTCAGACTTTTCAAGGTACAAAATTTCAAATTGAAAATTTTATTAGTTAGATTCGATAATCGATACGGAACGTATAAAATGAATGAGAAATATCATTTGTGTATGTATTAAAGTTTATTTGCTGCTCATTTATCTATTAATTATTTTATGTACGATTTTTTTGATAATACACTTGGAGGGAATAGCCTTACACTTTTTATATTTAAGATTATAGTCGTTGGAGCACACAATACGCGCGTCCCCCCCCCCCCCGACACGGTATGATATGTAAGATGCGTGGAATTTTGATCGTGTTTCGTAGTTTGGGGTGTTATTCACATGATGATTAGGTGAGCTTATTTGTGTAGTAGTCACTAACTTGATGTTAAGTTCTTCCTATCTCTTCTTCCTTCATATATACCCTATCTCTTGTATTTCATCCTCGTCTTATCTCATTTCCGTTTTCTATTCATTCTTGCTTTCTTTCACCTTCTAGCTTGTTCCTTTTTTTTCCTCCAACCTATTTACTCTTCTTGTATGGTTTGAACGGTTAAGTAAGCCTCCCTCTTTCTCTTATTCTCTTCTGACTCTTCTCTCTTTCCCGACTCATCTATCTCTTTATCACTCTATCTCTCTCTCCTTACCTTTCTTTCTCTTAATTGCTATTTCTTTCTCTTTCGGCCCTTATCTCTCTTTTTCTCCCAACCTCTATCTCTCCCCCTCTCCTCTTGGCTCATCTCTATCTCTCTCTGTCTCTCTCTCTCTATCTCTTTCTCACACCTCTCTCTCGTCCCACTCCCTCCCCTCCTCTCTTTCTCTTCTCCCACTCCTTCCCTTTTTCCTCTCTCTCTCTCACTCCCGCCCTTTTTTCTTCTCTCTATCTCTCCTCCTCCCACTCCCTCTTTCTCTTCCTCCCTTCTCCTCCCTCCATCCTTCTTTCATTTTCTCTCTTAAAATCTATCTATTACTATAGTTATATAAACATTTAAAAAAACATTTACTTGAGAATCTATAACACAATTCTACTATATGATTAAACATTTTATTCTAAAAGTGCTACAAATTAGTTAACATTTCCATAATTATCACAAAATCACATCTGTTAACGAATATCATTTAGTGAAAGAATTGAAGTTTGCCAAATCTAATTGTTGATTTCTATTCCCTCTTTCTTGGTCACTTTGTTTCTCCATCCTTTTAACTTTCATTTTCTTATATTTATATATGTTTTATAATTGTTGAGTAGTTTTGAAAGTTTCTAAAACCTATTTTCATCTCCTTAATTAAACTCTAAAAAGTTTCTCCTTACTTTTTTTTTTATTTCCTCGAACTCTCTCTATCTCTTTCACGATCTCTCTCTATCTCTCTCGCTCGGTTATAGAATGTCATGGCTTATAGGGTAATACTCAAAAGCAAAATTTAAAACATTAAAAGTATATGTAACGATGAAAATATATACTGATATCATATGCATACAATCTCTAAAGGGACACGTATTAAGATAATGGTTGGACTTCTTCCTATATCCAAAGCATAAAAGTAGCTTGATGATCACATAAAAGTAGCTTAATAAAATCGTGGAATTCAAGGCAAATTTGCATAATACTCTGCCTATTGAGTAAAGAGCCTAGTGTTATGTAGGGCAATATAAGTAAAAGTGATGCGTTTTAAAATTACCCATCTTACAATATTCCTATTTAAATTAAAACCCAGAAAATAGTATTGAAAAAAAAAAAGAGCTTAATGTACAACCAGCTAACAATTTAACATGCAACAACTTCCACTCCAAATTATCCAGAACAAAACAAATCTATCATATTCTTAGATTATACATGTATCCAAAAGAACATATTAACTCGCCTAGGTTGAAAAGAATCAAATCAAGCTATATCAAGCACATGATCAGAAGATAATTTACAAAGAATATAGAATTCTGGGCCTACTAAGAAAATCCTCGACATAAAAAATGGATCTAATGATATATAAGATTCGTGGAATTTTGATCGTGTTTCGTAATTTGGGGTGTTATTAACATGATGATTAGGGAAAATTATTTGTGTGGTAGTCACTAACTGGATATTAAGTTCTTTCTATCTCTTCCTCCTTCATATATACCCTCTCTCTTAGATTTCTTCCTTGTCTTATCTCATTACCCTTTTGTATTCATTCTTTCTTTCTTTCACCTTGTTATTCCTTTTTTTTCTCCAACCTATTTACTCTTCTTGTATTGTTTGAACGGTTAAGTAAGCCTCCCTTTCTCTCTTATTCTCTCCTGACTCTTCTCTCTTTCCCGACTCATCTATCTCTTTATCACTCTTATCTCTCTCTCCTTGCCCCTCTCTCTCTCTTAATTTCTCTATTTCTTTCTTTTCCGACCCTTATCCCTCTTTTTCTCCCAGCCTCTCTCTCTCTCTCTCTCTCTCTCTCTCTCTCTCTCTTTCTCTATCCCGACCCTTTTCTCTCTCTTTCTCACACCTCCCTCTCTTTCCACTCCCCATCTCTTTCTCTTTTGTCACTCCCTCCCGTTCGTCTTCTCTTTCTCTCTCCTCCTCCTCCCACTCCCTCTTTCTCTTCCTCTCTTCTCCTCCCTCCATCCTTCTTCCACTTTCTCTCTTAAAAGTTATCTATTACTATGGTTATATAAACATTTTTAAAAAATAGTTACTTGTGAATTTATAGCACAATTCTACTATAAGGTTAAACGTTTTATTCTAAAAGTTCTACAAATTAGTTAACATTTCCCTAATTATCACAAAATCACATTTGTTAATGAATATCATTTAGTGAAAAAATTGAAGTTTGTCCAAATCTAATTGTCGATTTCTATGCCCTTTTTTTGGTCACTCTGTTTCTCCATCCCTTTAGCTTTCATTTTCTTTTATTTATGTTTTATAATTTTGAGTAGTTTGGAAAGTTACTAAAACATATTTTCATCTCCTTAACTACACTCCAAAAAGTTTCTCTCTCCTTACTTTTTTTTTTATTTCCTCAAACTCTCTCTATCTCTTTCTCGATCTTTGTCTCCCTCCTTTTTAATGGCCTCTCTCTCTCTCTCTCTCTCTCTCTCTCATGGTTATAGAATGTCATGGCTATAGGCTAATACCCAAAAGCAAAATTTTAAACATCAAAAGTATATGTAACGTGTAAATATATACTGAACCCATATGCATACAATCTCCAAAGTAAAACACATTAAGAAATTGATTGGACTTCTTCCTATATCCAAAGCATAAATGTATGTTTGATAATCACATAATAGATACATAAAATCGTGGAATTCAAGCGCTAATTTGCATAATGCTCTGCCTATCGAGTAAAAAGGCTAGTGTTATTTAGGGCAATATAAGTAAAAGTGATACGTTTTAAAATTATCTTACAATATTCCTCTTTAAAAAACCCAGAAAATAGGATATTTTCACCTTTAAAAGCTTGATGTACAACTATTGAAAAAAAAAACAAAAAACTTAATACCTTAATGTACTACAACCAGCTAACAATATAACATGCAACAACTTCCATTCCAAATTATCCGGAACAAAACAAATTGATCACATTCTTAGATTATACATGTATCCAAAAGAACATATTAACTCGCCTAGTTTGACAAGAATCAAATCAAGCTATATCACACGATCAGATGATAATTTACAAAGAATATAGAATGTCGGGCCTACTAAGAAAATTCTCAACATAAAAAATGGATCTAAAAATGTGTAAAATAACAAGCCAAAAAGCTACGAAGCTCAATATTATTACTCTGTACTATATATCTTCTGAAGCTCACATTTTGTTTTGCCTGAACGACAAGATAAAGAAAAGCGATCTGTTGCATTTGAAGTCATAATTGTCATTGCTATATGCTTGATGCAATGAGTTGCAGTTTCTACCTTAGAGTATTAACCTGAAAGAGTCAAACCAGAACTCCAATTAATCAAAATCAAATATTTCGGTTGAAAAAACAAAGGAATTCTTGATATCACACTTATAGTGGCATCATATATACAGAGTATGTCACAAGCTTAGCCTCACTACTTTATCTATTAACAGACATTTATTGATCCCTAATCATAAGCATAAAGTCTAATAATAGTATAATATAGGATTTCAAGTTCACAATTACATAAACTACAGAAGAAATTAAATGGATCGTTGAGCACTCTGCTTATAATTTACTTCGGATAATAAAGCAATACATGGCTGTCCATTTTGGATCAAGAGTGTGTTATAAAGGTTTAATCATTGAAGATAATTTAAAACAATTAGCTTAATCTTGAAATCATACAATCTTTTAATAAGCAATTATTGGAGTAGTCTTTTTTTAAATGAAAATTTACCGGAGCGCAACAGTTCCAAGATGGTAACGCGAGGGTTCTTGACTCCTCCGCTAGTCAGAGCTAATTTTCTAGCAGCCTTCATTAAGAAAATAATCACTTAGATATTTAACAATCTTAATCAAATAAATAAATAAAGCCTTAACTTTAGAATGTAGAGAAATCAAATCCCTATTTTTTTTTAATTTTTTTTACCAAATTGCATTGAAACTACCCCAAAATAATGAACTAAATGATTTAAACCTAAAAACTACAATTTTAAAACAATTTGAATTGATTCGAGAAAACCCCTCAATTTCAACGAACACAACTAAATCAGAAGCCCCCAATTTCTTATCAAATTGAATTGAGAAATTCTCAATTTTAAAATGAACTAAATAAAGTAAACCATGGGAATGAAGAGATACCTTAGTAGCAAGTTTCTATGTAAGAGCCATTGAATTAGTTATCCATATATCAAGAACACACACACGAGTACTCAATTTAGGAAGGAAGCACAGCAGCCCCAAACAAAACAAACAACCCTTGCAGCAGCAACAAGCACAGAACAATGATACTCAAGAAGAACACAAGAACGATCACACCACAAAAACTAACTCACAAGCACCACACAGCAATCCCACACACTACCATAACACGAATGGAAAAAAAGACCTTGAAAAACCTCATCACATTTGCACACAAAGAACCCAAGATTACCTCTTGAATTCTAACAAGGATGAAAAAAATATTAGTGTTTACAATGTGACCATTGCTGGGGACATCTAACCAGCAAAACTCTCTCCCAGATTTATCTATGCAAAGTTTTTGCTGTAGCGGTCATTCAGGGTTTCCAGCAGATACGAACCAAAAGGTGCAAATGAGTTTAGGTCACAGAATGCCATGCACAGCATAAATCTAATTCCAGCAATACTTCATGCAACTTTAAGGCACATCAATGCTCAATACTCCATTTCCTTAAACCTTAATGAGCTTATTCTTTTCCCATTCAAAATTATACATATTTAAAGCTTCAAAGGAACCCAGAAAAATATATACAACATCCCCACTTCTATATCAACAATCCAGCAGGCAGAAGAAAGCAACATATTCTACAGGTGCACAATTAGAATATATCAAACCTGACCCTGTTCCTCCAGCAATCGAATGGCATAAAACAAATCCTTCAAGACTATCACTTCCATCTGCTTCTCTATCGATCATGTCCATGATGTCCTCTTCAACATTCTTCCCCTGAATGTGCAAAAATTCTACATCAAATGTAGCACCAATCCAATATCAACATACAGGAGACCAATACATTAACCCACATCATTCACATTAATTTGCATATCCCCTTGTTCAATGGTACCAAAAGCCATAATTATCTACTTCTTGATCACTCAGACTGACCTTTAGTATGCCAACTAGCTAAGAACATTTATGTTCAGTAATAGAGGCGATCATATAAATCACCCTTCACTCGAAAAGATGATATGTAATGGTGTCAATTTTGACAATTATAGATTCAAGCTTTGATTAAACACTTTATGTGTTTTAAAATATCCCTGAATATGAGCAAAATATCATGTTCTCAACCCAACCCAATTGATCATTGAGGATGTCAGTTTTGTTTACGAAAGACAACAGTATATCCACAAAGCTTTCTTACAAGAAAATAGGACAGTATACTTTAAGAGGGCCAGAAATAAATTTAAGCCAAAAAAAAATGATAATCTTAAATAAGTAGCTTGAAATCAATAGTACAGGATAGATTAAAAATGAGACATTTTAATGAGGGACATACCTAGTGGTATCCACTTGCCCTATTGTTTCCAGCACCCCCTCCATGATCGGCAACGAAAACATTTTCATGATTGTATGAACCAGGCTCTACCTAGTGAGTAGCGAGATATAATATATTGCCTACTAACCTTGGGCTACACACTTTATTAGTCATGGGGATTAAGGACTCTCTACCATGGTCTTAAAGGGATTGGTCTAAAGCTCCAACTTTAAGGTTGTAAGGCATACTCATTTCTTTAATTCTATGTCAAACTAAACTTATTATAATGTGTAAGATACGTTATATAGCATTCGATTCCTCAAAACCCGTATTATATTCGACATTAGTACATGATTTTGGTCTACATCCCTCACGTTTGGGGTCTTAAAAGGTATCTCCTGGAATGCTGGACAAACAAGAGATAGATAATCATGTTAGAATGGTTCAAAAGGAGGCTGAAAAAGTCACCACTCATTCTCTCAAAACAAAACAAAAATCCAAGCATGGCTCACCTTTAGAAGCTTGATTATGTTTTTGAGGTAAAGACTCATTATATTTAGGTTTTTCTCCTTTGCCTTCATATACAGGTTTTACATTCCCCTTGGTAAATTCATCACCTGTTTGCCTTCGCTTGCACCATTTTGCAACACCAAACCAAACTCCAAGCACAATAGCTAAAAGAAGCAACACAAAAATAGCAACACTAACTATTGGCTTTATGTACTTTGTTGAATTTGAGGAACTTGATGTTCCGGGAGCTGATGGGCTATCCTCTGGCTGCTTGCGTGTTTGTTGAGAAGAAGGTTGTCCAAGTAAAGATGCATTTGTTGCTGGCGCTAAAGTTGGGGATCCTGCTGGAGGTGGTGGAAGAACAGTGCTATTGAAAGGGTTTCCAGTGCTTCTGCAAAACCAAAAAGAAGCTTAGCTTTGTGCCAGGAATGACTACAGACAGTCAGACACACATATGCTAAGCAACTGCTTGTAAACTTTTGAGCAGTGAATTCAGAAAGTCACAGCAGAGAGATTAATACAAAATTACAAAGTGTTCTTTGAGCAACTAAATCATGTAAATGAAAAAAATACTCGTATAAAGTAACGTTGTTTTTCTCCTTTACAATTATGTATGTCATCTGACCATCAGTATGGTCGGATAGTTATAAGCATCAAAATCTTTTTTTTCTAATTTTTACTCTAGGCTCCAAATCAATAAGTAATGCTCGTGGTATGTAGTGCTGGTCATCAGCTTGGTAAAAAAAAAAATCTTTCCTGTCGCCTCCCTGCAGATAATCATGCAAACAACACACAATTTTCTTAAATAAACTATACATAAGACACCACAGAAATTTAAAAAAATAAAATAAAATAAAAGGAAAAAATTGGTACTCGGTAGAACAAAATTGTATTTAATCAAAGTTCTTTAGAATAAACTGCAGACCAACAAGGCAACAACAATAATTGAATGCATGCATAGATGAATGACAATTAAAAGGGTTCAAACAGATATGTAAAAACATAGACTATATAGTGATAGAGATGATAAGTTGCAGGGCCATAGCGTACTGGGAAGAAGCAGGGGAGGATGGGGTACCAAGCCAAATAGGGCAAATGGGTAAAGTAATAGAGCAGTTCACCGCTTCACCATCATGACTTATACATACACCCTTGTATCCAATAAACTTCTACACTCGGAAATTAACCTGCATACTCTTCCTTGATCAAAATAGGCATCACAAAACACCTATGTTCTATACTATACAGAGCATTTCTATGAGCCAAGAGTTGAGGCATACCACCAACGCGCCTAAACAATCCCTGCATCCAATGATATCTTCATAATGTGCAACAAGTCCAAATAGAATATCATATAGCGACTTAGCAAGGTTACCTCCCAGAATCACTTAGCAAGGGTAAAGTAGGACAAAAACCCAATAAAGTTACATATTAGAGCACTTTGCCACAATTTTCAAAGTAGAACTTATTCACTTACACAAGCCCGACAAAAATATAAGAAATGATTGATTTTCTATACATGATGAATAACTTAACAATTGGGGAAGGGCACACACTAAGCATAAACGTGAGAAAGGTTCAAAATTTTCAAAAACTACCTGAAGGATATTAATTATCTATAGTAATTAAACTTCTCATTTGTAAATGAACATAACCTTCAACAACTAACTTGGTTTCATTTTACGGTCACATGACTCACATCCCGACAATACTATGCGCTGCTCTAATCCACTTGTAATATGGGCAAATGGACCAAAAATAGGTCTACCATACAATAATACCCAAGAAATAGCAGTGCCTTTAGCTACACATAGCTATTTGACACACAAATGCTGAATTTAAGCATTATCTAAAATTCTTGAACAACAAAACACTTCATCAATGTATAAAATTACCACTCAAAACTCTCACCAATTTATTTGACAAAATTCAGATTTGATAGAAAAATAGCCTAACATCAACTAAGCTTGTCTCTCAATCAATCAAATAAAAATTCCATCAATTCCACAAAACACAAAAAAACATCAACAACAACACACAAATCACAGCACACAGATCATAAATAAATTATTACATTCTAGAAATTAAATAAATAAATAAAAAAACAAATCGACCATGCAATAATATATGAGTTTCTTCACCTCAAAATCGAATCCACCAAACCTTGCTCCGTCTTACTCCTTCTGCCTATTTTAGAAAGAAAACAGAGAAACTGGAGGATGAGAAAAGAAAGGGAAAAAAAAGGAGAAATAAACAAAAAAAAAACACAGTCAACATTCATACTAAAGGTTAGATGAAAATTGAACCAATTTGAACAAGAAAGAGAAAGGAGAATAGAATTGTACCTGGAGATCAACAATTCTATTACAAATCAGACAATAATACTACTAACAATAATAAAAAAAAAATCAACCTGAAAAAACGATAAATCACTCAAATTCAACCCAAAAAAAACCACCACACAATCGAAGAAGGCACTAAAATTCAACCCAAAAAACGAAAATAAATAGAACAAATAAACCCTTAAAAAATTGAACAAATAAACCCAAAAAAATCGAACACAAATCGATCAAATAAACCCCATTAAAAACGAAACGATTTCGAACAAATACACCCACAAAGATTCAACCCAAAAAATTCGAAAACATAGAACATATATGAAAAAAAATCCACGGCAATCGAACAGGTAAAGTCTAAAAATTTAAAACTAAATCAAGAAAGAGAAACGATATCAAACCTGATGAATGTGACGATCGAAAAAACTTCCACAACCTCAGACTCAAAAAATCGTCGAAAGGGATGATTGTTGGTCTTGAGTTGCTGAAGTTTCTCTCTCTTTATTTCCCCTTTTTCCTTCTGAGATGAAAATACAGAGGAGGAAGAAGAGTCGTGATGGACCCATACCAGATATGGACGCGTCTGTCCAATACCAGGGGCAAATTCGTAATTTCGCGTTGAAAAGTGGATAGTAACTACCGCGGTAAGTTTGTGTGTTACTGTTGTTACTGCCACTGTAAAAATCATTTGTTTTCTCTCTCTAGAATTAACAGCCAGTCCTTTTCTCTCTTCCTCGCCGGGAAACTTCATCGGAATTCCAAACCCTAAATTAGCCATAAACAAAGCGAATATTCATCAGAAAACGTCCCTAAATTCGTCGAAATTGTTGCGGTTAGGATTAGGGGTGTGATTTTGGTGTGTGTGGGAAGAGATCTGGGCTAAGTTTCTCGGTAGCTACACGTCGCAACAGTGGTTTGAGCATGGCAGGTAAATCGAAAGAATCTAGTTATTTGTAAAGGATTATGTTATGTTAGATAGAGGGTTTAATGTTAGCAAATGTATGGGTAATGGTTGCAGGTGGCGGCAGACGGGGCCGTGGTGGAATCGGTGGTCGAAGCGGCGGTAGATCAGCTGGACGTTCTCGCGGTAGAGTTGAAAAGGTAAGTGATTTGAAGAAATGTTAACAATTTAAGTAGTTAGGGAATTTGATTTAAATTATATGAATTGTATTTTTACAATGGTGTCGGAATAATTAGGGATTAAGTAGTTAACTATGAAAAATCGAAATTGATAGTTAATGTTCATTTGGCTGAAGTAGTTAACCATGATCATTTTGTCTCAAATTAAGTATGTATCGATAGATTGGCATTTTTTGGAATAATGATGATGGTGTGTTTAGAAGAATAAAGTGTGATTTGGTTGAAGTGGATAGAGTGTGTAAATTGGTGTGATGGTGGTTGTGATGTGGACATGAGTACTTGATTTTTATGTGATGTGGACATGAGTACTTGATTTTTATGTGATGTGTAATTGGGTTGGGGAAATAGAATTGAAATTTAGGTTGTAATTAGTTGTGTGATGTATGAAAATATTTGCTTTTGTAATGAAGGGGGTCTTTATAAGAAAATTTGGCTACAAATTTGGTTGGTGAAGTGTGAGTTTCATTACATAGCCTTAAATTACTAATTTTTTCATCTTGGTTCACAAGCAAATAATCTAACTAGTGGGATGTATTAGCGCTTAATTAATAAATATATAGATTAGATGCTAATCATGATACTATATAATATATATTTTACTTTTAATTAATTTGGTCCACCCTACCTAATTAGGAAATAAATTATAATTAAATAAAATGATTAAAGGTTGATGCTTAGATCATATATGCACTTATATTGCTATATCAAAGTTTTGACATCTAGCTAGCTACTATCATAATGAATGTAGAACGCATGAAATTTTCTTACATAAGTATTTAGTTTATTGTTACTAATCTTGCTTTTTAAATAATTTTATTTAAGCATATGGTATGAAAAGGGTCAATAAATCAAAATAAGGTGGTTGGAACATAGTTGTTATCGTTTAATTAGAATGATAATGACATATTATTATATTTTCAGATATTCTTTTATGATCGTTCTTGTGAAACATCCAAATATAGATTCCAATAATGGTTGATTTAGTAACTAGGAGTATTAGTTATTAGCTCCTTTTCAACTTAATTAATGCGGAGTAGTTTGTTTTAGTATTATAGCTTGTGGTGGCTTTAAAATTTTGGATTCACATACACAATAGCAAGAACTTTGAGCATTTAGATGAGAAAATAGGGGACAAATGAGTTTCGGCCGGTTGGCCGGAAACTAGTTTGACACTTGGAAGAAAATTAGTTGTGTGAAATTTAGTTGGTAATTAGTTGTGTGATTGTCTTTACTTAAATTTGTTACTTAAATTTGTTACTTAAATTAGTTCCTTATCTGCCAGTGGCTTATTGAGTAAGTGTTGTATTTGTGTTGATTTGAAGGATGTGGTGGCAGAAGAAATAATCAGTGATGATGAATTAGAGTCTGTTGGTACGAAGCAAAAGGTAATAATTAGATATAATGAGACATTCAGTGATTAAATAGTTTGTATGGTGGTTAGTGAAATGGTTTGATTTTGGTGCTCTTTTTGCATCAGGTTTGCAAGAAAATTGACGATGCTGTGTACCGGGTGAACTTGCTATTGTAGTCCACACATGTCATGATATTGTTTTAGACAAAAAGGTAGGGGTAGGGGTGGTAATTTTGTGTTGGTGTTTCATGTAGGATAATAAACTTAGTGAAGGAGGGAAGATGAAAGAAGAGGGTAAAGTGATTCAAAGAAAGAAGGATGAGCTGAAAAGGGTAAGTCTGTGTGTTAAAGTAATTAGCTTTGGTTTATGTGTGTGGTTATATGTGTATTGAAAACGATAAGTGTCTGTTTTTGGTTGCAGCCGGAAAACATAAATTGTCGGGTGGAGGATTTTGGCTTGATTCTAAATGAGTTTTGTGAGAAGAAGAGGAAGATTGTTCAGGAGATGGGTTTTTCAGGCCTGTTTGGTTTAGTGGACAGACAGCTTCCTAGGGAGTTGTGTTATTGGCTTGTTACGAGGGTTGATGTACCGTCGTACAGTTTGGTAACTCCTGATGGGCTAGAGTTTACATTCGACCCCATCCAACTCCATTGGGTTTTAGGGATTCCAAAGGGTCATTTACCAGTGCCGAAGAAAGCTGTTGATGAAGAGTCGAAGCATTTTCTTGCTGGTGTACTTGCTCGATTCAGTACAACCAATGTGAAAGGCGGGTTATCGAGGAAAAACCTGGTGCAGGCAGTAGAAGCTCCACTTCAAGATGTGTTTGAGTTTAGGGTTGCTTTCTTGCTGCTAGCCCTTGTGGATATTCTGTGTCCTACTACCTCGTACCGGCTCTGTCCTAAGTTACTCCCAGCAGCAATTGCAGCAGTGGACCCCGAGTCTTATGACTGGTGTTCCTTAGTGCTTGAAAAAGTGATGTATTCAGTTTCAAGCTTTGCAAGGAGGTTCTATCCCTCGGGGTTCTCAAAGGGTTGTGGAGGATGCACAATTTTTCTTGCAGTTAGTTTTATCATATGCTCAATTATATTTGTTTTATTGAACTATATAAACCTTTGTAAAATAAAATGTATATTATATTTGTTTGTTTTTGTGGTGTAGATAATGTATGTAGATCGGTTGAAAAGGCCACCTGTGAAATGGGGGGTTTTTCCTCGGTTGAAGGCCTGGACAGAAGTCGAAATTAACAAGGCAAAGAAGGCTGATCGCATAACTGGTGGTGACTTTGGGAAATTGGGTGTAAGTAAAATAAAGTTCCCCTTAACTTTTGATGTAATTGTGTAATTATGTGGTGTTTATTTTGTATTTTGTTGTAATTTGTGTAGTGTGTGAATGCGTCTTATGGAAGGCCACATGTAAGGGCTGCTTTGGACCATATGCCTTTGAAAAGAAGTTCTATGGCTGCTGAGGTGAGCGTAGTCTAAATGGTATTGTGTAGGGTGTTGATTGTTGAGTCTAAATGCAATAATCTAATTTGAGAAATGTATTTTGAAAACAGATTGCTGAAGTGTTAATGCAAGCTGTTGATGTAGAAGAGGAGGATGTAGATGGAGGTCTTATATCCACTCAAGGAGTGAAAAAGCGTCCAAAGGAAGGACGCGGTTATTTTGGATGGAATAACAAGGCTTCAGGTATGCATACACAAGTTATATGATATATTGATAGTAGTTTGCAGATGTTATGTGATATATATATCATGTGCAAATGTTATACTAAATCTTTTTTTCATATATATATATATCGTATAAGTTGTAAAGTATGCAAACTGACTGTAAATGTATGTTGATTTGCTATGGCTTCCAAAAGGTTCTTGTTCTGGTTCTGGTGTGCATGACGTGCATGACGTGAATGGGAATGACATTTCTGTCAGTGACTATATAGCAACAGGGTTAATTTCATCACCTATTATTTTGAACAATGATTGGGAGGACTCTCAAAGGAGGGAGAGGGAGGAGATTGAGAGACAGGAGAGGGAGAGACAGGAGATTGAGAGGGAGAGACAGGAGAAGGAGAGACAGGAGAAGGAGGTTAGAGAGAGACAGGAGAGAGAGCAGAAGGAGAGACAGTTGGCAGAGGAGAAGGACAGAGAGGATCAAGAGAGAAAGGAGAAGGAGCTGCAGAAGGTGAGAGAGGAAAAAGAGGAGAAGGAGAGACAAGAGAGAGAGGAGAGACAACAGAGGTATGAGAAGGAGAGGCAGGATAGGGAGGACAAAGAGAGGGTCGTATTACAGGAAGTAGAGAGGGTTGCCAGGGAGCAAAGGGAGAGGGTGGAGGAGGAACAGAGGCTGGAGCGGGAGGAGACAGAGAGGTTAGAACGGGAGGAAAGGGAAAGGGAAAGGGTGGAGGAGGAGCAGAGGATAGAAAGGGAAAGGGTGGCCTTGGAGGCGAAAGAGAGGTGCGAAAGGGAGGAAAGGGAAAGGGTGAGGTCGGAGAAAGAGCAAGAGGCATTGGATAGGCTTGAGAAAGAGAAAGAAGAATATGAAAGACTGAACAAGGAGAGGGCGGAGAACAGAGTACTGCGAGGACCACAAAGCCCGGAAAGAATCGATCTAGAGGTAAGTTTTAGTTCAGAGGAAGAAATGAGTGATGATTGTGGGGGGGGGGGGGCAGCATTGGTTGAACATGGTGAGCGCAGTCGTCGAAAAAGGAAAACAACGGCAACACCAAGCCGATTAGTACAAGGGTATGTACTGACCAGGCGGCCTAGGAAGAATCGGCGATACCGGCATGCAATTTTCGATTTCGTTAGACAGAACACCAATTTTTCACCAAGGAGTCAGAACATAATTGACATGTATGCACATTATTCACATGTATACTCTATGATTTGATGTAGTGACCAGCACTACAATCATTAAACAGCCTCCTCCTAACCGCATTTGTAATCTCATCCTGCCGGTACATTGCAATATATCGGGACTTTCTGGGAGTTGGATTATGATTTTCATGTTCTGTGATTGCCTTCTTCACTTCCCAACAACCATCAGGTTTACAAACAGCCCTCATTTCCACAAGACACCCACACTTCTTTGTCTTCCTCCTATTCAAATCCAAAGATAAACCACCACCATACACCCTTTTCCCATTTACTCTTCTACGCAAATCTGGCTTACCAGCACATTCACAGCGCCAAATGTAGCTCCTCCTCTGACTCTTGTCTGTTTTCCCATTCTCTGTCTTGAAATTACCAGCAGCTCTGTATACTCCAAATCCCCTTTGTTTGCCATATTTCCTAAAAAATTTATCAGCATCCTCCCAATTACCAAACACCATACCCACTTCAGGATGTTCCAGCAACTCTTCATAAACCCCTTCATCACTCTCAACAACACACCGAACCGGTGTTGCTGCATTTGGACCATCCACAAAAACAGCAGAACTCAACACATCATTCAATGGGGTGTCCATCACCCCAACCTGTAACAATCATATATCACAGTTACAACTATGGTGTGTAGAAAGTGTAGCAAGTATAGCTATGTACAGCCTAAACTTATATGATATATAAGATAAATCAATTATGAAAATTTTGATATTTAGTAGATAGATTATGATAATAGTATATAAATTATGACACATAAATTATGAAAAATTTGATATTTATTAGATAGATTATGATAAATTTATAATTCCAACTTATAGAAACTTATAGCCCTGCAAATCAGCCTAAACTTAGGTACCAACTTTACCATGGTGTAGCAAATTTACCATAACCAAATTTAGCTATGTAATTTATCAAAATAACTAATCTAGAACTACTACTAACAAGATAATAATACATGAATTAAAAAACGCCCATCAAAAACTAAATCAGTAGTTTAATTAACTGAAAGATTCAAACAATTATAACAGTGCTTAACACTCCAAAACAAATAACATCATTTACATGCTTTGACCATTAATTCATTACATCATTAGTTCATTAACTACGTAATACAATTAATTAATGCCTCGTCAAGTTCCAGATCCAACGCATTACTTTCATGGTCACCAACTTCCTCGCAAATTCCACTGTTTCCTTCATTCACTTCCATTTACAATTCTTCCTGTATACAACAAAAAAATAAAAAAAACACCATTACAATTATTTTGCAAACCCTAACTATCTACTTTTAAGAAAATTGCAAAAAACACAGCTTAAACCGAGACCTGCCTTTTTTTTAGGGGCAATTCTTCCACCTTTTTCGACAAATTGGACCCTAATTCACAGAAAATATCACAGCAAAACCAATCTCTCTCTTCCCGCCGGCGCCGGACTCCTTGATTTCGCGCTAAAATGAAGCAAATAAGGGGGGAAAGTAACTTCTCTCTCCTCACTGCTCTGTTTTTACCCAACTTCTTTTTCATTTACCCTACCTTTTTTATTTTCATTTATTTTTTCAAAAAATATTATTAGTTTATTTGGGTATTGGGCATGCCTGTCCCACACCTGGTAGTGGCCTATACTTTCTCGGAGGAAGAAGGTGAGGAAGTCGGTGAGAGAGTGAAGGCCAAGTAAGGGTGAGAGAATAAGTCGGTTGGAGAGCAGCAGGCAACAAACAATAGGAATAAGGGGCAGAATGGGCAATTCATTAATGTTGGGGGCAAGGCGGTAATAGCACCACAAGGTACTATTCACTAGCTACAGTAAATACTTTTGCATGTTTATAAGGGTTATAGATTGTAGAGGGAAAAAAAACTGTTAAATAATAATAAAGTTTTTTATTTTTATGATGACAATTTTTTTATTGGTTTTATTAAAGGGTATTTTTGGAATGGGAAAATTCCCAAACAAAAAAGGGTGTTCCCTTTAGTAAGTAACATAGATTATTCATTTTAGTATTTCTCTTTTTATGGATTCCACTCAAAGCAACTAGTCATGCTTAGGAAGCCATCTCTATTTGACCTTATGTCACAATTATAATTGTTAGTAGTATTAATGAGAGGAAATATGTAAAAAAAATACTTCCTCCGTTACGTATTATGTGCAACTATTGCCATTTTGGGATGTTACAAGTTATGTGCAACAAACATATCCACCACCGAGGAACTAGAAATGGAGGAAAGTTAAAACATTTTTTGAGTAAATTTACTAAAAGACCCTTACTTCAATCCAATTAAAACATTAACTACTTGTTAATAAGTTATTAGCCCAACTTACAAACATATCCACCACCGAGGAACTAGAAATGGAGGAAAGTTAGGCATTTACAAATGCATAATAAGGGGTGTTCATGTAATTATACATATGTACAAACGAATGCATATTCTGGTATCATTGGATGATCAAATGGTACCACTAAATATACAGTGATATTATATATGCACATAATGGTATTATATATGCATTTAGTTTTACAAAATTTATGCATAAATAGTACCACTAAGGATTCAATGGTATCATAGAAACTTTCAGTGGAACAATCAACATGTGGTCCCCCATCACGTGATACAATCCGACCAAAAAATAGGTGGGGTCCACCTACATACCTTTCTCTTCCTATCTCTCTCCTCTTTTCTCTCTCTATCATGTGTTTTAATAATATATCAATGTTATGCATTTACAAATGCCTAACTTTCCTCCTTTTAAAATTCCTCATCCACCACCCACACCACCATCTTTTCTCTGTTCTCTCTCTTAAGCCACCCTCACCTACACTCTCTTTTCTCTAACAACCACCACTCAACCACCACCTTCTTTTCTCTCTCATCTCTAACAAGCCAACCTCACCACCAATTTTCTCTCTTTTCTCTCACAACAACCACACCACCACCACCATAAGATCGGGTCGCCGCCACTTCCTCCTCCATTAAAGTCGTCGCCGCCACTTCCTCCTTCATTAAGTCGTCGCCGCCGCTTCTTCCTTGATTAAAGTCGTCGTCGTCGCTTCCTCTTCCATTAAAGCTTAAAGTTGAGGTTTTTATGGTCAAATTATTCATGAAAACTCTAGATCTAGAGTTTACATGGTCAAATTTGACCAAATAAACCCCAAATTAGAGACAAGGAGGTAATACTTTCCAAATTTAAGTTATTTTTCTTCATATTTTTAGGGTGGTTGGTTGTGATTTTGGGGAGAAGGGAGGGACGTCGGTGGTTATGGGTTTCCGACTTCCGAGGTTATGGTTTTGGGTTTGGTGGCTGTGGGTTTTGGGTTTGGTGGTTGTGGTTGTGGTTGTGGTTCTGGTCGGTCTTGAGTGGTTGTAGGTCCGGCGGGTTTTAGGTGGTTGTGTGGTTGGTTTTGGGCGGTTGTAGATCTAGTCGTTTTTGGGCGGTTGTGGGTTCGGTTGTTTTTGGGCGGTTGTAGGTCTGGTCGGTTTGGGTGGTTGCAGGTCTAGTCGGTTTTGGGTGGTTGCAAGTTTGGTGGTGGCTGCATTTTGGGGTTTATGGTGGCAGTAAGGTGGATGGAGGTGGGTTTTGGTGGTTTCTGGTGGTGGTGTTGGTGTCCTATTATAAGCTTAATTATTGGCTCTTTCTTTAATAAATCTTCCTTAAAAGAATCTTCTTGGGAAATGTACAACCCATTTTGTTGCACATAATATGAAACGGAAGAAGTATTTTTAGACTAAAAATATAAAAGAGGCAATTAACATTAGGAAAAATTAAAATTAATAATCCCACTTTTATCACTTTTATTCAAAACAATCCCACCTTTACCGCTCATCTGCTTAACATGATCCCTTTTTACTTGTAACAGGTTAGTTTTTACAAATTTTTTATGTAAATTTTATTTCTTAAATCTCTCCTCCTATCTCCCTCCCCACCTTCAATAGCAATCCACCATAACCGTTCTTTCTAGACCTCCGTAACCACCACTCAAAACCCTAACCTCACCCCCACTAGGCCTTGAACTTCCAAGTTCCAACCCTACCCCTCTCACCAGACCACCACGTACCCCACCTAACCCCACTAACCCCCCTAATCCCAACCAACCAGCCACCCCAAAATCCCCTCCAAAATCCCCTAAAGCAGACCACTCCAACAACCCCTTAATCCCTGAAATCAAAATCCTCTTCAACATCAAGAGTACTCAATCTAAGATGGGTTAAACTACGGAAGATTGACCCAACATCATTATCCAAGTAATTAACGACTTTGAAGAACCCATATTATTACCTAATCTAATCGATTTGACACCATAAATCCTTTGAGCAAGTGGTAGTATTTGGCCAGATTAATCAGTACTTATGTATCTATCGTCGCTAATACAAAAGTTCTACCTTAAGTCCTTAACCAATTCACTTGGATGCTGGACAAAAGCTTAGAGTTCATTTGACATTGCTGTGGTTTTCTATTTTTTGGGTCTGAGTGGTGGTGGTGGTGCGTTGGTTGTGAGAGAAGAGAGAACAAGGTTGGTGCTTGTGGTGGTTGACAGAGGGAGTAGAGAGAAAATTGGTGATGTTGGTGGTGGATATGGTTGTGAGGGAGGAGAGAGAATGTGGGTTATGGTTTCAATTATGGATAAATTAATTTGGGTTAAAGAGTTTATATGTTGTTTATTGTAATTAAGTAAAATTTAGTAAGGCTATGCGGGTAATTTTACACAAAAAAATATACTAAAAGAGGAAACTTTTAGTTTGTTGCACATAATGTGTAGTTTCCGTTTTGAGAAATTGTTGCAAATTTTATGAAATAGAGGTAGTATTATTTATTTTTTTTTTAATATTAGAAAAAAAAAATACCAATTAGAAGGTGACATGACTATTTTGAGCAGATTGGGGTAAAAGGTGGGATTATTTCCAAATTATGTAAAGATGAGATAATTTTGAGCATATGTGGCAAAGGTGGGATTATTCGTTTCAATTTTTCCGGAT